ACCCCCAAGTTCTCCGAGCGGCGCGTCCAGCCGCGGCGCCGAGCGGGCTCTTGTCGAAGGCCGAGACCACCAGGGCCTTCGATCTCGCCCTCCTACACGATCTGCACACGCCGAGTTCTTCCCCGCCGAGCTCCCGGGCTCCCCGGCCGGCCAAACGATGTGTTGCACACGTCGATCCCCTCTTCGGAGGCCTCCCAGAGGAGGAGGAGGAGGAGGAGGAGGGGCAGTAGGAGGAGGAGGACATCAAGACCAGCGAGGAGAAGGACGAGGAGGACAAACATAGGGATAGGGATATGTTTCAAACTGGTAACAGGACTCCCTCTAGCGAAATGTGTTTCGTGGAAACGATCTCGGGCCCCAACCTGGCGGGAGAAAGCCCAGAACGTGGCGCTTGAGTTGGCAGGGCCGACCTCCAGAGCAAAACCTTGGCTGCTCGACGTGCCCCTTGTCGAGGCCTGCCGCAGCGGCCAACGCCGCCGCGAACATCGCGGCCAACGCGCTGCGTTGCGCGCCCTCGCCGGCCTTCGACGGCGACGACGCTCGAGGCTCGATGATCTGGGCTCGGGGCTCGGGGCTCGAGGCTCGAGGATCGAGCAGTGAAGGTTTTGATCGGCCTCGGCTGCAGAGACCTGCCCTCTGAAAAGAGCCTCTCTTGGAGGCCAGCGGCCCCTTCGACGGAAGATCCCCGGCAGGGGACGCTGGTGCCCTCGGCACGCGACCTGTCGTCGGTCGTAGATCGTCGGTCGTCAACCGTCGGTCGTCGTCGTCGTGGTCGTCGTCGTCGTGGTCGTTCGTCGTCGTAGTCTTCGTCGTCGTCGTCGCCATCGTTGTCGTCGACCTTGTCGTCGTCGTCATTGGCGTCGTCAACGTCCGTCGTCGTCGTCCGTCGTCGTCGTCGTCGACGTCAGTCGTCGTCGTACGTCGTATGACGTTGTCCTTGCCGTCGTCGTCGTAGTCGTCGTTCGTCGTCGTCGTCGCCACGGTCCTCGCCGTCGTCGTCGTCGTCGTCGTCGTCGTCGTCGTCGTCGTCGTCCTTCGTCGTCGTCGTCGTCGCCGTCGTCGTCGTCGTCGTCAGTCGTCGTCGTCGACGTCGTTGTCGTCGTTCGTCTTCGTCGTCGTCCGTCGTCGTCGTCGTTGTCGTGTGTCGTCGTCGTCGACGTCATTGTCGTGGTCGCCCAGTTCGTCGTCGTTGTCGTCCTTCGTCGTCATCGTCGTCGTCGCCGTCGTCGTCACCATCGTCGTCGTCCTCGTCATCGTCGTCGTCGTCGTAGGTCGTCGGCCTCGTCGTAGGTCGGAGGTCGTCATCGTCGGCGTCTTAGGTCGTCGTCGTCCGTCGTCGTCGTCGTCGTCGGTCGTCTGTGTCGTCGTCGTCGTCGCCGTCGCACGTCGTCGTCGTCGGACGTCGTCGTCGTCGTCCTCGCCCGTCGTCGTCAACGTCCGTCGTCGTCGTCGTCGTCGTCGTCGTCGTCGTTGTCGTCGTCGTCGTCGAACGTCATCGTCGGCGACGTCGTCGTCGTCGTAGGTCGTCGTCGACGTCGTCCTCGTCATTGTCTAGGTCGTCGTCGTCGTCGTCGTCGTCCGTCGTCGTCGTCGTCGTCGTCAGTCGTCGTCGTCGTCCGTCGTCGACGTCGTCGTCGCCGTAGAACGTCGTCGTCGTCTTAGGTCGTCGTCGTCGTCGTCGTCCGTCGTCGTCGTCGTCGTCGTCGCCGTCGACGTCGTCGTCGTCGTCGTCGTCCTTGTGTTGATGACTCTTGGGTTTTTACTGGTCCTCCTCCTCCTCCTCCTCCTCCTGGGTGGAGGAGGAGGCCACCGACGGACCAGCAGAGCCACCACGCAGAGCCTCCTCCTGCGGCCAGGCCGCAGGGGAGGCCTCGTCGGGGGACACAGCGTGTGTCCTTCGTCGGAGGGAACCGCCACGCGCTCGGCCGAGGGGCACGCCTCCTCCTCCTTCTCCTCCTCCTCCTCCTCCTCGTCCCCGCTACTGCAGCCCCCATCCCTCGGAGGCGGCCCGGGGCGCCGGGCGAGCAGGCGAGCGGCTCGCAGAGGACTGAGGCCACCGCGTCCTGTGCGGCCCGCCCCCGCCGCCGAAAACGCCTGGCCGCCGCCGCCGCTGGTCGTTCAGTGTCATGGTCGTCTGCCCTCGCCGTCGTCGGCGTTGCCGCCATCGTCGTCGCCCGTCGTCGGCGGCGCCTTCGCCGCCGACTCTTCTCCGTCGCCCGCCGCCCTCGCCGAGCCCCTGCGCCCCCACATGCGGCCAGGGTGACCCTCATTTTTTTACCAGCGTTCTCCATGGAGATTTCCAGGACCACCGTGGCCACCAACCTGGAGCTTCACGTGACCTTCGTGCCGCCCGCCATGTCGGGGCCACACCACCCGCCGAAGTCGTTCGTCACCGGTCGTCGCCCTCGCCGTCGCTTTGGTCGTCCGTTGCTCGCCGTCGTGGCCGAAGCGTGGCCGTCGCGGTCGCCGCGGCGGCCGATCCCTCGCGGCCGAGGCGTGGCCGCCGCGGTCGCCGCAGCAGCCACCGAGCTCCGGGCGGCCCGCAGAGACCCCCGGCCGAGGAAAGGCGACCCGAAGCCGTCCTGCAATTACACTGAGGGCCCACCCGAGCACCGACGGAAACGAATCGCGGGATCGACGACGACGACGACAAAGAACGACGACGACGACGCGGACCCCGACGACGACCGGAAATGTCACATGACCGACGAAAACGAACGGGTTTTGCGCGATTTGGCATGGCGAACTTACGCGGAAGCCCACGCGGGCTGCCAGCGCTGAGCGCTACTGTTGAAAACGAAGGCGCCCACGCGCGACCGTACGCGGGCAGCTTACGCGCGAATGCCGGCGCAGTCGAAGTTTTTTTTTCCGTCGGTCACTTTGGGTTGCGCGGAGGAGTTGGGGGCCAAGACAAGGAATGATTGCGCATCATGCCCGAGGCATGTGCGCAGCCCCTGCTGACGGCCAGTGGGCGTCTGGAGAGGGGGCCGTGAAACCGAGGCGATAGCATTGGAGGCCTCCTAGATAGGGTCGCAGTAATCGGTGTCGGAGAATCGCGCCGCATCGCTGGTGCATCGGCGATGCATTGGCAATGCGCTGGCGTTGCGTCGTCAGCGTGGGCGATGCATCGGCGGCGTCGGCGTAAAGGAAATCGGGCAGCACATCAAGTCTCATCGGCGATGCACCGGCGATGCGGCGCGATTTTCCGACCCTATTCACTCCGACCCTATCCACGAGGCCCAGAACCATGGCTCCGACCACGATGCCCGCGCAGCCCTGGTCCTCACCCGCATCTTAAGCGCCAGCGACAAATGTCTCCTTCTTTTCGGTCATCAGTGGAGCCGGCCGACCTTCGAGCGCCAAGACCGTCGGAGGATCGACCCAACAGGCCGAAACACTGGCGAGGACAGACCCCGGGAAGGACGTTCTGGACGGCGGGGGATTCTGGGGTGGCGGTCTGGGGCCCGTGCCTCGGCAGCAGTTTGCACTCTCGCCTCGGCGCCGCGTACACTGTTTTTCAAACATGACTTTCTCGCCTCGGCACGGAGCACATTTTCGGCAGCATCCTCATCGCGATTGGAATTGCGGAGGTCGGCAAAGCCTGCGCGACGCGTCCACCGTCTCCAAGGTCGGTACGGCCTGCGCGCAGCGCCCGCCGTCTCCAAGGACTCCTTGGTACACCATCCTTCACATCACCACTACTATAGGTACGAAAGGGAAGAGAAGGATTGGAGGAGGAGGAGGAGGAGGAGGAGGAGGAGGAAGAGGAGGAGGAGAAGGAGGAGGAGGAGAGGGAGGAGGACAAGGAGGGGGAGAGAGAGGAGGAGGACGTCCCAAACCCCCCATCCCCCCACGTCCTACTTGTGGTAGCGGCGGTGAGAAATAGGCTCATTAATCTGAATGTGCATCGACGAAGTCGTCTGCCAAAAGGCAACGCGAGCGTCGACGACCGCAACGTCCTCCTCATCCTCCCGATCCTCGATCCTTGCTGAACGACGCTGTCGTCCTCAATATTACACGCCTGCTCGCTCCAGCTCGTAATTCATGCGCCCGTCGCACCTAGGGGTGGCAAGGGCTTGCCACGACCTGAACAGCTGTTGCCTGCCTTCACGGCGAACTCGGCTTCGAGCAGGTGTCGCTCCTGTTCCTGTGCCTCGCCTCCAGCCAGTGGAGTCAAGTGCCACTCGACTCGACTCGCTTCGCGGTTCGTTTTGCCTCTAGCGCACGGGCACCAATGCCGAGCGAGTGAAAAAATAACGAGCTGCAAAAACATGAACATTCGAAAGTCCGCGCGGTGAGGCGTTATGTGACGGTCCCCATGGCACTGGGAGGGCCCCTGAAGACCAAAAGCGAGAAATCACCTCTGGACCCCTTTTCCCTCAAGACTCGTCTTTCATGGCAAGCGAAAGGATCCGGCGGACGGCGCCGACCTGGCCCCCCCGCGCCAGGACACCGCTGCTATTCACGGTTACTAAACTTTTGAATCTCAGCTTTGAGAGAAAGAAGAAGAATAATAAGAAGATTCTGGAAAATAACAAAACAACTAACTGAACATGTTTCGACTCATTGTAGCTTTCACGGGCGCGCCAATGTCCTGAGTTGCCCATGTCTCCGTTCTAGGGGGCTTTGAGCCGACAGGACCGAAACTCGGGGGTGGACAGAAACACCTTTAGCAAAACGCCTTTTAGTGAAAATTGTCAGAGGCACTAAACGCGCGCACCTCACCGCATTCCGAATGCACCCTAGCAGGGTAGCTCACCGACGTCAAAAAAACGATCTAATGCGGCGAAGAGCGCGTCGACTCGCGAAGCCGACTTGGGACTGCACCATCACACTCGAATGCCAGCGTCGATAACAAATATCCGGTGCCAGGATCGTTTTGGGGGGTCTGAACTGGTTGGGGACCCAATGGATCGGTCAGAAAGGAGAGTGAGGCCAAATCCGTTCAAAATCGGTCCCCAAACCCCTCCCAAAGCCATGTGGTGCAACTCTTCACTCCG